TCCAAATCCCCATTCAGCTATAGTGATCACTACATGTTTCTCTTTCAAACTAATGCCACTTGCAGGGCTGTTGTAAAGGTAAAAAAGAGTCAAGGAAGCTGAAGAAAAATTAAATAAAAATGTAATACTGTAAGTAAAGCTGTAAACATGTACCATCCTGAAACTAAAAGGGAATGATATTAACAGTTTTGTCTCCAAAACTCTTTTAACAGCAGCTTTGGGAAATAAGAGGAACAATATCTAGGTGGGGAGTGCTAGCAGTTAAGAAAGCACATAGAATTCTGGGGATTTTCCATTATTTAGAACCATAGCAAAACCTGCATGTCTTGGGTCAAATTCAGAGATTCTGTTTTGGTTGGGGGCCCAGTCTTGGCCTGACTCTCTCTTCATTTATATCCTGTTAATATAACTGTTGATAAAACCAATATGGACACAAGGTCACCAGCTGCAATGAACAGCATTTTAAAAAATTGCATTCTGTACTAATAACAATGAGAGCAATCACAAAACATAGAGACAAAAGTGTACTGAGGTTTAAGCTACATATAAACAGAACATTCCTGCACAGAATAATATTTATAAGCAGAATTTCACACACACATATATATACACACACACATATAAAACACATATATCTCCTAACACAAAATGTATCAAGCTGTGTGACAACTGAGCTGGCTCCTCTTCCTATACACAATGTCACTGAAATAGAACACAGCCATAATAGAACAGACCCATTCAACCAATTGTAGAATGGTGAGTCAATACATAAATAAATCTAATGAATTCAATAGGTCTACTCTAGACAGGACTGAAAGACTGAGTACTGTATTTATTTCATGTTCTCTTCTTGTGTCTTCAATAAATAGCCTAAGGTCTGTTGAATACACACCTTTTCAAAGCAATAGAAATGAAAATTATTTTTTATTCATTAGTTCATGGAATGGAAAAATAGTGAAACGCCTTCCCTTTCAGTTTATTTAATTTAAAGGTGCTTGCTTGCTTTGTTGTCTATCATTTCATCGCCTCAGTTTAAACTTGTACTTTGGAAAAATATCATAGCTTATAAAAAGCTATGATGACAATTAAGCCCTCTACCATTGTTAAATATATACAAATTGAATATATAAAAAGGCTGTTTTCTAAGCAATTAAAAATGAAAATTATTTCATCATTAGAAATAGTGCAATTATGAGATTCCTTTGAGGAAAAGAAGGTATTGTCACTATCTTTTTGGTCTCTGCTAGTTGTCTTGCCAATATATGATAAGCTTTGTTATCCTTTTCAAACTACTTTAGATTTATAGAGCTAAGAGCCTCTTCTGCTCCAAAGGTTAAAATATTTTCATTCGCTAGTTATCTTTGTTCTGAGAAATCAAGGGTGCACCTGTTAAACAACTTCAGATTTCTGATTTTGTTTTTATCAACAGTACAATCCTATAAATGTCTACTTTGAAGTACCATTCTCGATTTATTTGGGATTTACTCGTATTGCAAGCTATGTCAGTCACAGCTTCTCTTTCTCTTTTCTTCTCCCTCTCTCTCCCCAACCTTTAGAAAGGATGATTTGTGCACATGAAACAACCTTGTAAATGTCTTACAGGTCTCCCAGATGACTTGACATGAAATATCCTGTGCATCATTAATTGGAAAAGTTTTGAAATGCTGTGACTTTTTTGAGCTGTCCAGGTATTGCTTTGATGGGTGTCATGGTGCATTCAGTACTGTCATGAATGTCAATATACAGCACTTCATAATTATCCTATTGCCTTTGTGACTTGTCAAAACTATCCACTTTCCATCATTTCTTGAGGACACCTATCCAGACAGTGATACGTTTCTTGGAATGGAAGAATATGTGTCAAAGTCCTGTAGGTATTTTCAGAGTGAAAGTGCAGTACCAAAAGATGTCAACATTTCTGTAACACTATACATACATCTAATTTCCATCATGTTATATGCCACCTTTAGAGAAGAAATATGTCATCTGAACACATCAAGAGAAAATAAATGGATCATGTGAAAAGCCAGAAATGTAACTACATCTTTCTAAAATATAAGCTGGAATTCACTTATATTTCCATCTGCCCTGTAGTACAGCAAAGTTATAATAAAAGTAGGTGTTGAGATGAAAGTCATTTTTAAATCATGTCATGATTGTCAAAAGAAAATTATTATGTTGTGTGTGACTGTCGAGCCATGAATTCTCTATTGACTACAGGAGATAATATCCAAATGATACCCCATATATATTTCACTGTTTGGACTTGCACACAGATTCCATTGAATTAAAATAAAATGAAGCTTATCCAAGGACAGAAGTCATCACTGAAACTTTGTGAACTAATAAATACCTTGACATAATCTCAGTTATCACTGATGTGGATCCTATTTAACAACTTACTACTGCAATACCTGAAATCAAAGCAGGCAGTAGAAATACTAGACATGCATTTTTCAGCTGTTTCATAGGTTCTAATAGGACAGTAAATATAACTACCCTCAACAATGCATTTTGGGGCTAGGTGTCAGCTAGGCATGATTTTGGACATCTATGATTCAGACTTTATTTTAAAAGAAACTGGGTTGGTGGTGCTAAATGGATTAGGTCAGTCGTTCTCAAATGTTGGGCTGGGACACCTAGGGAGGGGGCACAAGTGGATTGAATGGATGTTTCTGTGTTTCTCTCTATGTGTGAGAATAAATGACTATGTGGATGAGGTCAGAGATGACATTTTTTAGAACAGCTTTCCCACATTATGCAAGATTTCAAATCAGATCCCCTCCCTCCCGCTTGACCAGTGTACCTGTAAGAAAGCAGAAACTGTCAGCTTTACATTTTACATTTTAAACCATGCACCTAAAAAAATGTCATGCCTGCTTTGCAAGTATACACCTAAAAAATGTAACACACAAAGCGTTCCTGAGATCCTTGCCATTCCAGTCCACCGTTTAACTCATTTATTACACTGGACATTCATTTCATGTATTGTTTTATATATAATCATGTTGATTATATTCAATATGTTAGAAAAGAACACTGCAGGCCTTGAGGAAACATACTCTTGCTTTTCTGTCTAGACAGAGCCATGCTAATGAAATGCTAAAACATTCCACCTGAATAGCAGGCCATGTCTACAGTTTTCAAAGCCACTTGTTTAATCTGCTCTCATACAGTCTAAAAAGCCTAATGTTTAAATGGCATAGTAAAATATTGATAGCACAGAGAGCACTAGAGAGACCTGAATGCAGGCACTGCAAGCAAGCAAGCCCTCGCTGGGAAAGCACAAGCAATAACTCAGTACAGTTATGCCCACGACTATTTGCATCTGCAGAAGGGAAAGCAAACACGCCCATCCTGTAATAAGTAAAAGTAAACTGAGAGCAACTGAGAATAAAAAGTGTGCACATTCACCAAAATAAATACTTGCTAAATCATGAAGGACAGGAAGCACTCTTCCAATGAGCCAATTAGGAGCGTTCCACGGATGAACACTAAAGAGGTTAAAAAAGGCATAATATTTTAAAACCAGAAAGTGGGGGAAGGGAAAGGCAACAGAACGATAAATTGCCCCAAAATTGCACTGTTTCCATTCCAGAGAAAATCTTTTTATAGTTTAAAGAGTTTCCTCCAAACAGAAATAAGAAGTACAGGTTGAGTATCCCTTATTGAGAAGTCTGAAATTCGAAGTACTCCAAATTCCAAAATTTTAAACTATAACACAAGCAACATAGTACACACCTGTATTGTATTTGCAGAACTGTATTTGCATGTCTGGAGAGCTGGAAAGAGACATGGTTAGAGATAGAGATGCAAGGATCTGTGAAGTGGCAGGAATTTACCACCATCCTCGCCATTTCACAAGTCCTCAGTCTCTCTCCATCTCATAATGGTCCAAAACACACTGCAGAAATAATCCAGTTTGAGACCATTTTAACTGCCCTGGCTCAGTGCTAGGGAATCCTGTGAATTATAGTTTATTGTGGCACCAGAGCTCTCTAACAGAGAAGGTTAAATGTCTCACAAAACTACAGTTCCCACAATTCCTTCTCATGATGTGTCCAAAGTACGACAGTCTAAGAGGGGATGCAGACGGCCGTCTTCAAGCTAGAGAAGGGGAAGGGCAGCTGGACATCGGGCACCCCAACCTCTTCTCAAGGATGTCATCGGAGCGGTCGCCATTGCACATGGCGAGTGCTCTGATGACGTCCTTCCGGCTCAGCGTCCGGACACGTCTGGACACCTTATGGCACTT